TTCCATTTATTTATAAATCAATTTGCTTTCACGCATATTTATTCATTTTTATTTATCCAGCAACCTGCAGTATCAAGCTACCCCAAAGCATCGCTCTCTGTACAACTGCATTGGTGAAAAATCAGAACAGTCCTAAAGCTGTGTTAAAAGCTTGGTGCGAATGAGTGTGTGTGTATATTGCATATTGCATATTGCATAACACACCCTCCAGCAGCAGAATAATTTCTTATTTGGTGGCAGTTTCTTCAAGTCCTTTCCATTTTCAGTTTGCTGCAACATCTCTAATTCTATGTCAGTGGTTTATTTCCACCAGTATCCATCCTGTGTAACTGCTCAAAAAACTGCTAGTACTTCAGGGATGCTGTCTACGCCTTTTTCCTCCTCAAATTAAAATATTTTGGGTCTGATGAATAAAACCATTATTTGCTTATTTGCAGGAGGTACAAAATGGCCGCCTCTTCCGCCTCTTGGCCAAACTAGGCACCATCAACGAGCGGCCAGAGTAAGTCGAGCGTGTGGAAAGACCCATTAATGTGTGACTTGTGTTTCTGTTATTACTCAATGACCTTGTCTTGTGTGAATCAGGTTTCAGAAGGACCCAACGTGGTCAGAGACGGGTGACCGCTACCTGTTGAAGCTTTTCCGGGACCACCTGTTTCATCAGGTGACAGAAGCTGGGACGCCCTGGATCGACCTCAGCCACATTGTCTCCTGCCTCAACAAAGTGAGTGAACTTTTCTGTTTCTTACTCCTTTTCTTTTTCTTTTTTTTTCTTTTTTTTTTTAAATTACATTAATGACATTTGAATATGCAGAAATTTGGGTTGTCCATTAGTGAACTTTTTAATGTGAATAAAAGAAGGTAGAGTGGCCTATTTTCAGAACATCTTTTAATGTTTCTTGTACACTAGCTGACAACGTGCATGCATTTGCGAACCAATTGCGTGTAAAAGTAGGTGCGATTGTTGGCCTACTTCCATCACTGACCTTTAGCATTTCGCTAGCAGCTGGTCCTGTGCAAGAACAGCAGAAGTGATGTTTATAAGATCATGTTCTGCTTTGCTTTCTCAAGCTAACACCAAATCTTATCAGCTCCCAACCTAAGCTCTTGTATATTTTTCACAAGTTGCTTTTTTTTTTTTTTTTCTCCCTTATTTCAGTTCTGTTCTGCTTTTCACTGTCGGAAGCTGATTAAACTGGTCTTTGACTGATCTGTTTTTATTTATGTTCACATGACTTCACACACACTGAGGTATCATCTGCTTATCTCAGATATACCAGTTCATCTTGGTTCACAGTTATTCATAGATTCTCCATCTACTTGCTTCAAATTAGCGCTGCAGCCAACAATTATTTTCATTGATTAATCTGCTTTAATGTTCTTGATTAACGGTTTGGTCTGGTAGAACTGGCAGAAACACACACACACACACACACACACACATACATCTGTGTGTGTGTGTGTCTTCACAAATTAAAAGAAAAAACAGAAGTGTCTCAGTAAGACGTTAGGCCTCCATGTGCTGCCAGAGCAGCTTGAATGGGTTTTGGCATTGACTTTCGTCTTTGGTGTTCATTTCTCTAGTAGAGTTCATTCTTCCAAAGGATATTCCCTCATTTGGTGTTTTTTGTGAAGGCCATAGCATGTGATTCACATCATTTTCATACTCATCAAACTAGTCAGTGACTCCTTGTGCCCTATGGATGTGGGCATAGTCTCCCTGTTTAGCCACACATTTTTCAGGCTTTTCCTTTCATTTGTCACATTTCCTGTGTCTTCCTCAGCTGGACGCGGGCGTTCCTGAGAAGATCAGCCTGGTGTCTCGAGATGAGAAAAGTGTCCTGGTTGTGACCTACTCTGACCTGAAGCGCTGCTTCGACAGCACCTTCCAGGAGCTGCAGGCTGCAGCCTCCGGCTCTCTGTAGCGCCCTCTTTGGGCCCGGGGTGGGACTGCCCGGACCTGGAGCACACTATTGCACTACAGTGGAGGACCAGGCTTACGGAGATGACATCAGCATGGCGAAGGCAGCGGGGCAGGGCTTCGTGAACCTCAGTCACATACACTGACCCTGTCCACCAGGATGGCTTTTTCTAAAGTGTATTTTTTTTAGTTTTCCTAAACCCCGCAGCTGAAAATTGAAAAACAAACGGAAAAAAAAGAAAAAGGACAAACATGGAAGCTGTGATAAACGAGTATGACATTTTTTTAGATTTGGGGAACAAAACCAGAAACAAACCATGAGGTTATAAACTTTTTTCCTGCTTTTATTGTTTATTTCTACAGTTGGGGTTTATTTTTCTGAGGAGGATGCACTAAGATTTTAATTTTTTTGTTAATTTTTGTTATTTTTATGAATATGTGTGAGTGGCCTACAGGGTGTACAGAGAGAGTTAAAGCCACACACGGACATAAATACCAGAGCAAACTCACAATTAAAACAAACAACCAACAAAAAAAAAAAAAAAAGAAATCCAGCTTTTTATTGACTGCATCTCTCATCTGGCTGGAGACCACACCCCTTCATTCTGACGCACTACGAGACGGGACACACCACTTGAGGCTTTCATTGGGGAGGGATGGCACCCGTTTAATGAAATGGGCCAGCCCACCTTTGCCTTGATTGTTGGTTCCCCCTCAGAAAGGACAAACCACTTGGGTGGGAGGGAAGGGTTCTTAAAACTGGAAATAAATGATGGATTTCTGACATTTTAGTTCAGGAGATTGTGGAATATCAGGCTCATATGTGTGGGTGAAAGGGTGGGTGGGCTATTATGGACTGGGATTTGGGTTTCGGGGGGTGAAACGTGGTTTCTGTTGGCACTGAGGGAAGGGGTGTCTTCTCCTGATGCTGTCAACCAAGTGTTTGTTACATATGCAGCAACCACCTTTGGTTAATGGACGCTATCGTGACATGAACTGCTCAAGGACCGGTCATTTCGATTGGCTGTCCAGCACTTGGGTGTAGCCCATGGGTGGGGCTTCTGTTGAGGTGGAGCCACAGCTGCCTCTTTGTGGAATGTCCTTATTTTGTCCCCCACCCGTCCTCTCGCCCCAATGTCCCCTTTCTTTGTCCCTCTCTCACTCTCCCCTCTTCTTACTCTTTTTGTCCCAAACTTCACTTCCCCTCAGGGGGTCTGGGCCCCTCTACATTTGAGAAAAAGTGATGCTTTTTGTGACTTTTCTAGCTGGTTTTTCTCTTTGCTCAGCTGTTGTGCAGGAATGCATGATGGGAAGTGGGAGGGCAATTCATTTTTGCCTCAATTCAACTCTTTATTATTCTGTGGACCAATTCCAGCAGGGGTTTAGGGAAAGGGGAAAGGATAGAGGGCGAAGGAGAATAGGAACAGGGCACCAACAGTTTTTGTTTTAGTTGACTTTTTTAAGATCATGAAATAAAAACGTGCTGGAGACAAGGCAGTGGCGCTGGCTGTTGCACTCACTCGGATGGCTTGGATTTCTCTCAGGATGACAAACAGCTGGAGGGGCCCAATGATTGAATGTGTTTGGCTGTCATTGGCCGCCCCCTGTCCAGTCAGATAGATGAGCTACAGTGGAGTGGGCGGGACGTCTTCAGATGGAGGTTTTAGGAAGTTAACAGCGTTGTGGAGATCATGCTGCGAGGGATTTTCATCTTGCCCTTAAGCACAGTTCATAATTCCATTGATGATTTGAATCAAAATTGTTGACTACATGAATTTGGTGCAAACCCACTTGACCTAGAAAAACACAAGCCAAGCTCTGTTGTGGATACCTCTGCCTTTGTCTTGTTCTCAGTTGCTGTAGTTGAATGTGTCCAAACATAAGACTGTAGAACAACAGGGTCACGTGTGTGAACCACACTGTCAGATAAGAGACAAATCAAGGTGAACAGCCTAATCAAACAGTGTCTTGGCTGCAGTTGGTTTAACTCAACTTTTCAAAGTTGTCATGGATGTCAATGGTCTGTTCTTGGGGGCAATAAAACTGCAGGGAGCTGGCTGTGTTAGATCATGTACTACTTCCTCTGTTTTAGGTAAATGAACAGACAAAAACATATTTGGTGAATGTGGTGCTTTAGAAAACCCCCAAGATACAGACACAAACACACACAAACACAAACACCTTCAGACGCACACACACACACACACACACACACACACATATGCCCCCAACTTGGCCTGCACAATGTCAGTGCTCATATCACTATCTTCCACATCGAAACAGACACACACGCTCCAGTTACTATTAGTGATAACGTTCTTCTCCTCCCCCACATCAACACACCTACAATCACCATCTTAGTATGTTTTATGCCCCTCTTGTGTTCATTGTCTCAAATTTTGCAATATTTGTGTGTACAGCAGTATTTTAATAAAGAATATCAAAACAGATGTGGGAGCCATGTTTTTGTAATTAAGAATGTTACAACTTCATTTACATTTACAATATTTTATAGCAGGTTTACACAATCAGGACAATACTGATGTCAACATGTGGTTTGGATATTACATAAACAATTACGTTCTTCAGTGATTAATCATCTTGAGGTTTGTTTTCGTAATAGGAAATGTCTGCATTATAGTTCTTGTTGACCTATTACATAGTGAGATGGCAATATCATGAGTCTTGCTGCCTATTTCAGTCTACTAGTTACTTTGACCCCATTTAACATTAATTATTTAATATTAACATGCAATCTTAATCTTTATTTTAACTGGGGAAAAAAAGAGAAACATGTTTATGCAAAGGCCTCGGATGTCATTGTCCAGATATAGATTGCATGTCAATACCGAGTGTATTGGGTCTGCGTAAAGATGCCGATATTTAAAAAGCGGATGTATCTGCTGATCTCATGTTCCTTAGTGATGCTTCAGTTACTGTATTTACATTATTGGTTCATCTGCAGATTATTTTCTTGATGAATCATTTCGTCTAAACTGTCATCTACGACAAATAAAAGCAGCAAATCGTTTCACACATTTCACAATCACAATTGAGAAGCTGGAACGAGGTTGATTATTGATTGTCAAAATAGTTGCCAATTCATTTTCTGTCAAGTGACTAATTGTTTCAGCTCTAATGTTTTAGTGGGGAAATTGATGGAGAGGGGGAAGCTCTACGCTTCATAGGACTGTTTTTTTATGCAGTCAGTATTATTTGTAAATGCAAATACACTGTAAAAACAGCATAAGGAAATGTGTGTTTTTGTTTTTGTCAATGCTGAATGACTTGAATATCAAAATATAGTCAATGTAGAATTAAATATGCACTCAGTTGCCAGTTTATTTAGGATTAACCAGCTCAAAGTAATACGGTTAAATACAACAGCCCTGCAGTAAATCCCAGACTCATGAAGATTATAATGTTTATTTTTTGTTGAAACTGTTTTAGAAACTTGCTGATTCAACTTCATGGTCTCCTCGTCATTGCGGAGGGTTTAGTTTGATTTGCTTTCAAATTATTTTACATAATGTTGAGAGGCATTTCAAATTTTTTGATATAATTGCGGTGCATAAATTCTATCGCAGGGCTGTTGAATTACTGACTTTTATTTTTAGGTGAACCCAGTAAACCGGTAGTGCGGCAGTGTAGTCAGATACAGACGTCAAATTTAAACACCAGGTTAACAAGTGACTCATCCACGACATGACTACAGCATTGAAATAAATACAGATTGATACATTCTGTCTAACATATATAATTCAGTGGGTAATAACTTTTGTCCAGCATATAGTGTCTGTGCAAGAGGAACAGTTATTTCATACAGCAGTGTTTCTCTTCACAAAGCTCAGAGCATGAGGTACCAATAAAATAGGTTCTAATAGATGTAGCTTGGTAAATACATTCTTCATAATTACGTAGGATAATTCCTGCTGGGTAATAGGCTACTTAGCTGCTCTTGGATAGGGTTGTGTGGAGATGCATTAAGATAATACTTGATCGTTGTGAGGAAGCTTTGTTGTATAACAGCATGTGATTTTTGAAACTGAGAAAAAGCAAATGAATGTTTTGTCTTCAACCTAAAGGAACATTTCTCAGTTTGGCTGAAGGAGGAAAAGAGAAACAGATTTACCCACAGATATTATAATGAGGTAACGGATTAAAACGGCAAGTGTAAAAAAAACAAGAAAAAAATACATTCTGAGTGAATAAAAGTGATGAGCTGGAAACTATATTAACCCTGTATAAAGCTGTCAAAGAATTAAACAAGAGCAGGTGCTAGAGGGATGGGTAGAGGAAGGCAGAGTTGTAGTCCGGAGGAGGGGAGCCGCCTTCGTCAGACTCCCAGTCACACGGCAGGATAGAAGGCTCGTAGTCACGGAGACCTTTCATGTCGTTGCACAAGTAGGGCACCTGGTTGTCCTGACACTTGAAAGTGAAGAACCTAAATATAAAAATACAAAGATTAAGAGTCATTATCTTGTTTATTATGCATTAAGCGAACAACCTGCATTCAAGCTTTTACTGATTTATATGTCCCTGTCGTGCATTAAATCATCCACTTATCTTTTAACAAAGTGTTTGTATGACGAATATACTCCTTCACAATGGGGCTTGATTAACTTGTTCCTTCTTAGTTTGAGACATTTCACAAGAAGGCAGTAATCTGTAATCTTCAATTCATCTGAAAACATTTGAATATGTGCAAGATCACTGTGATCACAAAAAATGAGTCAGTGGAAGGAGGAAAGTCAAGGGCTAAAAGATCAGAAATATATGAAAGGTCACCACCTGCTGAGTTTCCTGGTTTTAGTGCCGTTATTCCATGTCATATGCTTCAGTTCCTCAGATGGAAGGACCATCCCACTGTCACTCTGCTCATCCTGAAGCAGAGGAAGCAAACATCGCAGTAGTTTGTAACTTCTTTTTTTTTTGTTTTTTTTTTTACCGTGTCTTTTTTTCCTGATGAAGTGAGTGTGCATTTTTTTTGTGTGTGTGTGTGTGTAGGTGTGCATGCAAGCAGAAGTGAAGGTGTTCTCTTACATCAGGGTTATCTGGATCCTCACAGGGCAGTTCCTCAAAAGTCTGAAGTGTGGCCATACCTCTCATGTAACTGATTGGATTAAGATTCAAAACATAAGTTAGAAATTTCTCTTCTTTCTCAACCTGTTTCCTGTTGTTTCCGTATTTGGTTTCACTTACCTCACCCCCCCCCCCACCCCCCCCCCCCCATCACTTTCACATCTGCACCTGTCGCTCATTTTTCTCCTTTCTTTTTTTTTTGAATATTTTATCCCCCTTCTCTACCATACTTGATAACTGACATTATACACATACTTATCATCGTAAGTCAATGTATGCTACCTCAGATCTAAATGCTGTGCACTAAATCACATAATGTTTTCATTTTCTCATGTCCTTACCTCAGGTTTGTGACTGCAAGCGGGTTTTCTTTCAAGGTCTCACTGCGGTTTTTGTCTCCAGTCATGAAAGATCCCAGGGGAATATAATCTTTCCCATCCTGTTGAAAAGATAGATGGAACAGTGGGGGATTTGTAGGAACTTATTTTGTTTTGTCTTTTATGGACAAGAACAACAACAAAAATCATAAGCCTGAGGCCTGACCTGCTGAACCTTTGCTTGCAGCAGGTCTCCCAGTGTCTCCACCAGGTTAGTGAAGGTGGGTCGATCTGAGGGACTTGCCTCCCAACATGCCAGCATGGTGCTGTAACTGAACACATAGAAAACACAGGTATACTGTTGAATTTTCAGGCAAAACATTAACAGAATCACAGTTAACCACTGTTGATCACTGCTGTTGGGCTATACTGGATGACACACAGGTTTAAGCTTGGGTCCTCCTCCCACGGCAAAATGACAGTGTCTTTTTCTATGATCTGTAGTTTTCAATGTTGTTGGTTGGTTAACAAAGTTGAAGAAGTTGAACGTTGGGCTCCATCATCAGCACACCCCTTTCTCTCTGGCTTATTTCAGTGGGTTACAGTGTTTTAAAACATTTCAACCCACATCTCAGGTGTGCTGTACTCTGGTGCTCGCATCCTTGTTCCCCCTTTCAGTCGGTGGCAGAACTCCTCATCTATGTGAAGACCAGGGTACGGGGAAGCGCCTGTTGGGCAAAAACACATCAATATCTGAACTAAAGCCCAAAGAATAACCAAAGAGATGAAGAAAAAGTAAATTATAATCTTAACAAAACATTTTTAAGTGGTTTTATATTGGATTTCATTATAATGTGAGGTGTTTCAAATTTTTTGTCCTCTTACCAAGAGAGAAGATCTCCCACAGCAGAATGCCGTAGGACCACACGTCACTCTGGGTGGTGAACACCTTGTCGAAGATGGACTCGGGAGACATCCACTTCAGAGGGAGGCGGGCCTGTCAGCCAATCAGAGCACAGGAGCACAGTTACATCCTTCTTGTGAGTAAACATTGAAAAGTTTGGCTGGTTGAAAAGCTGTTAGGCCACAGGTCCTTTAGAGGAAAACACAGACGGTTAACTGCTTATCTTATTTTGAAATTATGCATAGTTGTCCTATTTCACCCACATTAATAAATACTATTTTTGTAATTTACAGAAAACCTTTTTGCCTGGAGTATGTAAGAAAGGAAGTGGCTGCAATTTTTTTTTATTGAGGGATTTGTAGTTGATTTTTAAAATTAATATTCTGAATAATTTATTACACTATAAAAATTTTCCATTGTAAGAATACTTCAAAAATTTTTACACAAAATATCTTAAAACAGATATGTCAAGTCAAGTTTTTTTTGTTTGATAATAGTATTACAATCAATGCTACTGGTTAAATGCATCGCTTAAACATCGCTGCTAAAACAGAAGTTTAACATTTTTTATTTTCTGTTTTATTTTGACGGCTCACGTGAACTCACATCTCCCTTGCGGACATAGTCGGGGTCTTTGTAGATGTCTCTGGCCAGGCCGAAGTCACAGATCTTCACCACTTTATTGTCGGACAGCAGAATGTTCCTGGCTGCCAGATCTCTGTGAATACACTGATGTAGGCACAAAGACAGCACCATCAATGAAATATATGAAACACGCACATGTGTAGATGCATGCACACACACACACACACACACACACACTGCACACACAGACCTTGCGAGAGGCCAGATACTCCATGCCACGCGCCACCTGGAAGCTGAAGGAGATGAGATCCTCCAGGAATAGAGGAGAGGTGGATGCAGATTTGGGATCTAGGGGGAGAGAGAGAGCAGACACAGCGATGTAAAAAAGAAAAAAAAAAAAAGCTGTTTCGATTTGCACAAATAAAGCTCCTGTCTCACCACAGCCCTTCTCTGTCTTCTCCCTGTCATCAAACTCTGTTCTAACGTTGCTCTGGCCGTCAGAAACACCGCAGACACTCATCCCTCCATCCTTTCCTCTGGCCATCTTGGATTGGGAAAAATCAATTCATTGTTATCAAATATTTTATTAAAGAGAGTCAAAATTAGGACAGTCAAACATCAGGATGGATTCAACATGTCTTCAGAGATTTGTTACATTGTTACATGCTAATTTTGTTCAGTTTGTTGAAGGGTATAAGAGAGAAATTTGTACAGCTCATTTCTTTGAGGCCACAGTTTTTAGTAATGTCTAAACCTGTGAAGAAAATAAGGAAGTACACATCCTGCTCAAGAACCGATAACATCTTCGAACCTCAAAGAGATTGCAGAAGTGAGTTTTTGAAAGTATAATTTTTTAGTTGTGTGCAGCTCAAAGAGATAATATTATTTTTCTCTTAAATGCAAGACAATGCTGAAATTTGGCCAAAGACTCATGTGAGCTACGTTTGTACTTCATGAAGGTCTCAGTCAATGTTAAATACAGCTATCATGACACCATCTTTAACTGTGTTTGTCGACCGCTGCCAAAGCTGCTGAGCTCACCCGGTTGTGCACAAACACCTCTCTCTTGCTCTTCAGAAAGGCAGAGAGGTTTCCATAACGGCAGTACTCAACAATGACCATCAGCGGCCCTGCACACACAGAGAGCAACAACATATATTAGAATTATGTCAAGTGTGAGAACATAAACACACACAAACACTGACATGCTGACTGTATCTCTCAACATACACATAAGTTAACTTTGGCATATATTAGGCAGATTTAGAGCACACATGCATTGAAAATCCACATACCTCCCAGCTTAGTGCAGGCTCCCAGTAGGTTGACTACATTCAGATGGTGTCCAATGTAGTTGAGGATCTTCAATTCAGTCATCAGAGCTTTGTGCTCGCTGGCTGTAGCTCCCTCTAGTGGACGATAGGCAGAAAAGAAAAACAAGTGGCACAAATGTTCTTGCTCAGAACTGTAATTTAATTTTCTAACAGAACACCAGGGGCCTGATCTTGTACCTTTGAGCATCTTGACAGCCACAGTCCTGCAGCTGGTGGCGCCATCTATACCAAACGCACACGCCTGCATCACCTTCCCGAAGGCTCCACGTCCCAGAGGTTTCCCTGCGAGGAAGAGAAGGAAGGCGATGCTGATAGGGAAAAGGGAGGTGTGTGTTTGTGTCTAATTGAGCAACATTATTAATTACTATTATCATCCATCCCGGATGTGAGATGCAGAGATGAAGAGATGAAGAGAAGACCCCATCAAGAGTCCATCTAACTGAATCCCACGCTGATGATAGTGAGAGCTGATTAGTTCCAGTAAACACAGTCCACCCCCCCCCACCCCCCACCCCCCCCGCTGGAGTTGATTAGCTCACCACAGACAACACAGACACAAAGTCTGATTAATGGAATGAGAGTCACTCCCAATAATAGTCTGATAAGACCTATGAGAAAGTCCTCGTATCAGTTAAGGGATCTTATACACCCCCCTCTCTCTCTCATCGTTAGATTACCCAAAATCCTCCCAGTTTCATATCACAGTCAAAGCCAATCATGCTAATGTTATCAATTTCTGCATTTTAATTTGAAAGAAAAGAAATGTACCTAATTTGAGTCGCTCCCGAGGGAACTCCCATTGGTTGGGGTCATATTGTAATCTCTCACACTGCTCCTCTATTGGCCCCTCTCCTGTGTCCAGAATGATTGACAGGTACTCTGGCTTGGTGTTTGAGGTGTTGGGCTTAAACAGATAAACAAAATAAAAAAATATTAAATATTAAAAGTAGAAGTTGTTCTGGGACATTCACATTGTATGCAATTAAATTCATAGGCTCAATCACTAAGCAACCGTGTATGTCGAAAAATGGTTCATGTGAATGTTTTAGCTTCTCTGCCTCAATTATTCATATTTATCAGACATACTTATTATATGATTATTAATACATGTTCCAGGTTATGTTAAACAGAGTATACACGTGACAAGACAATAAAGTCTAATCTAATCTAATCTAATCTGTTCAGCATTAAAACTTTTATATGGGCAAAATGAATAACAATACTTTTTCTTGTTTCCTCTCACCTGTTTCAGTTTCCGTATGAAGAGTGTGAGCAAAAGCCAGAAGAGAGTGGCCACCACGCAGGTACAGGTGAGAGTGGGAATTTCCAAAAACGAGGATTCTGAGGCACCTGCACACAAACAAGCACACACAAAGAAACACACACGTTAAAGCTTCATTAGCTTTAATATTTCATTAGATTACATTTAGTTATTGAACACAAATTGCCCCGGAATAAGCTGCACGGGTGTAAGGATGTTGTTCCGTTCACGCCACATCACTCATTTAGATTTCTTTTATTATATTTGCTGTTTTTTATTTGATATTTGTATTAATCTATTTGGTTTTGATCAATTGATTTGATTGTGTTTCTGCTTGTTTTTTTCCTCAACACATCTCTGAGATTGAAATGCAGTTTTGAATTCAACTGGAACTAAACTGAGAGAAAGAAATCACAGAAAAATACTTAATTATAACTACAGTATATAATTTTACTTTACTCAAGTTTTCTCCATGCTTCCAAGTGGGGGCACTGCATTTTCACTGTTGCACCATATCCCACAAACACTAACATCTATCCTCTTCATTAAATAACATTAAAGTTTTTTTTTCTTTTTTTAAAGGGGAGATGTAGAAATGCCCAGCTCAGTGCAACGCGGAGCTTCTCTGAGATTCAGGCCGGACCCTTCCGCAGGAAATAAAAACGGGAGACAGTTTCCTTCCTGACTGATCAGAACACAACAACACACACACACACACACACACACACACACACACACACACACACACACACACACACACACACACACACACACATACACAGCCACTCCTCCCTCCAGAACTGGACTGGGGAGCACGTCCACCACCTCTGCCAGGGAGCAGTGCTCAGTCTGGGGGGTAGAACCAGCCTGTCCCCCCTGTCTCCACCAGACACATGAGTGTGTGTGTATGTGTGTGTGTGTGAAATTGAACAAAAGCAATGTGTTTCCCACATTGGGATTATGATAGCACATACTTAGCTAATTAATCATCTTCCATTAATAGAGCTGAAATGTCACACCTCAACATATAAATACTACATCCATGAAAACAACTATACAGCTACTTATAGAACTGAGAACAATGAACATTCAGACATACCCATATATGGAGGTGCCCCATCTTCAGGTCTGAGATCACCACAGCCAATCAAAGGCCGAGGTGCTTGAAAAACACAATTGGTTTACAGCTACTTACTGTTGACCCATATGTAGGCAGAGCTCTCTGCGGATCCCCTCTCATTGGTGGCCTGGCACGTATACAGACCCTGGTCCTCCACTGTGATTCGGTCAATATGGAGGGTCCCATCTTCTGGTGATATGACGATACCTTGCAGACGGTGGCAAATAAACTTTTACACACCAGATTACAGCTGCAAGTTACATGTTTGTGGTCTTTTTTCTAATTCATTTTTTACCTGATCCCTGTGACAGAGCATGTTCGTCTTTGTACCATGTGATGGTAGGGGGTGGGATGCCTTGAGATGGACAGCTAAGGGTCACTGAACTGCTAACGTTGACAGTACAATCTGTCAAATTATTATGCAGCAGCGGAGGCTCCAGAACTGAAAAGAAATACACAAACACGCTATGAATAGTAGAATGCTGAAGTATGAGTGTGTATTAGTACAGTGCTAAAGCAGTGTGAATCAGTACGTTTATGAGGCGCTTTGCTTGAGTATTTATATTTTATGCTTTTTTTATATAGAAAAATTGCACTTTTTACTCATACTACAATTTTTGACACAGTTATAGTTATTGCTACAATACATTTAGTTTTTTAAATATACAACAGTATATAAAGTAGTTAGAATGATCCATTGATCCACTTTGATCAATTTCAATATGAATCATATACAGTATGATAGTAATATAATAATATAAAGCTGTGGGAGAGAACATTCTGCACAATAAGTCCTTTTATTTTTGATACTTAAAACTTACACTAACGGATTTTTCTGGTCATTTAAAGGCGGTGAACACAACACTGACATATGAGCAGCTCTTACATTGATACGGATAACTTGTTTCTTATTTACACATCCAGCAGATATGGAGCAACATTAACATTCATCTGGAATCCTGTTTCTGTTCACCTGCCAATTTGAGTCCTATATTTACTTTCCTTTTTACTTTTGGTTTTGGCCTCCACATCCACAAAGACCTGAGGGAAACTGATCTCTTTAGCAGATAAATGTTCAACTATGTTCACTGAAACAGCTGCCGGCTGCGGTCCAAAAGCAGCGATAAGAGCGAAACTAAAGCGTTAAAACCAAAACAATGTGGAAAAATGCTCTGCATGGATAACTGCAGAATCAGGTGATAAATCAATGGGCATCCATCACTACAAGACACACTTTTCACATTACAAAACTGTTACATTGTTATTATAATACTTTACATTATAGCCTTTAATGACATTTTGCTGCTAATAGCCTATATTTACTTTAACTTTAACAAAGTAAAACTTTGAATAGAAGACTTTACTTATGACAGAGTACATTTTACATGGTGGTATTTCAACTATTTCTACTTGAGTAAAAGATTTAAACTAGATAAACTAAGATCAGTGTTCACGATCGTCTCAGTACAGTTGTAGTTATTTATAGACAAACAGAGATCTCTGATGAAGTGAAATCAGTGCTGCTTTCTCCACAGTTTGCTGGACCGGTGCCACTTTCGCACAGCAATTCTGCGCTGGTAGTTCCACATTTCTGTGGCCTTGGGTTCAACCTGTGAGTCAGCTGACATTTAGGCCCAGAAAAACTCCACAATGCAATCCCATTTCTAAAAAGACAAAACAATGTTGTATTTCATCATGTGGACATTACGGGCCCATGAGTGCACACAATGAGTTGTAGTTTTTATGTTTCCCTCTCATGGACTATAATTACACTACAAATCTCATACACTATAATTAGATCAGATGACTCCTGATTCCATGGAGCTCTCCATTTTTTAATTTTCCCCCATTCCCCCTCTTTTTCTCTAGTTCCCTCACTTGTCTCTCTCTGGTCACCCTGTCTCTCTAGTAATTCCTTTGTGGGGGTCCCGAGGGAGGAAGTTGTCGTGTTGAGCCCTGATTGTATAGAGAACAGCAGTAAAAGACATGAAGAAAAGTCACTTAACCAAGGCGACTGATTGTTGTTTCCCCTATCTTCCTCCTGGACAACAATTGATGATTGTCCGCGGGGGCTGGGGCCTGACAGTGTCTGATTGGCTGATTGTTCCTCCGGCCTTGTGTAGGGGCCTGTAAATGTGGCATTGTGGGAAGTGCCATTGTGTGCTCTTCCTCCAGACAAGAGCTCATTCCCACGTGAAAGAGGTGCTGAGCTGGAGCGCAAGAGCAAAGGCAGGGTGGGGCCCCAGGAAGCTGAGGGGACCCAATTCCCAAGCAGCGAGACCTCTGTGAGAGAGGGTGGGTGTTTGTTTGTTTGTATGTATGTGCAACATATGTGCACAGAAAACATCAAGAGACAGAGAATATGGTGTGTTTAACTCTCTTTAAGTTAGTAATAAACAATATTAATATAATATTGTTAATGTGCATGTGCACAGCTACACATTCAAGGCCCCTGACAACAATTCAGTTGGAGCCCCCTGACAATAAGTATCGCTAATTTGTGGCATTTTAGAGAGCTTCTGTTCAGCACTGGGTTCCCTGAATCATTCAGCCTCTGTTTCTGTTTCAGTTCTTGAAAACCAGGATTTGTAAGGAGGAAAAGGAAGGCCATAAAGATGTGAATTAATGAGCAATTGAATACCTAATTGTGAAATTTAAATTGCACTGAATTTATTGCAGTGAAATATTTATACCATTTATCTGAATTCATGTGGCTTGAATTCTCCTCTAAACTTGGTTTTAATTAAATCAAAAAATTAAATTAATGTTTTTCTTGTAGGTTTCAGTAAGTTAGATAGAAAATTAAAAACAACTTTATTCAGGGTTCTCAGATTAAATTCTCAAAATTCAAGATGAGGAATTCAAACTTGAACATCTGGGATAACAGAAATCTTTCAGATCTCTGTCCTCTAATTCCTGTAAGTCAAATGATCTGAGAAAAAAAAGATGAGAGACTGGAAATCCCTGAACACTTTAAATTTTATCTGAATTCGTGACCTTGAGAAAAAAAGGCACATTTTGGGACTGCAAATTGACAGTCAAACCATAATGGACATAAGATTGTCGAGGTAAAACACACTGTGCAGACAACAAGGGAAAAACAGGATCCAAAATTACTTGATATAAATGAAATGATAGAGACACAAAGTGTAATTACTCTTTTTTTTTTTTTTTTAAAGTTCAACCAACAACGTTCAACACTGATCATAGATATTGAAGATGAGAATGAAGAGGAGATGATAAAGTTGAGATTACTCACTTGTGACCTCCACCTGTGTGTCCAGATGTGTCTCCTGTCCAGTCACGAGGTGGCGGGCGGAGCACCTGTAGGCTCCAGAGTCTCTGGCTGTCAGGTTGCTGAGCAACAGGACCAGAGAGTTAGAGAACTCCCCTGATGTGAGCTGCTGACTACTTAGGGCAGGGCTGCTGGATTGGACATCCTCTGTGTCATTCACTCGTTGCCATGACACCGTGGTGTACAGGTACTTATTGGCTACACAGGTGAGATGGAGGTCCCCGCCCTCTCTTGGTTCCTCCCGCTGGTTTACACTGAAGCCTCCTGGGACGTCTGAGAGGAACCAGAAGAAATGAAGAGATGGATTGTTAGGAAAAAGAGGTAGGGAGCGGGACCATGAACAATATATAAACCTTCAGTGATCTCCAGTTTGATGAATAAGCCTTCTCAGGTTCCCGACATGTGAGTCAGGATCCTGCCTGCAGCCTGAAACATACACTTTAAGACCTGATTCCACCAAACCTCCATTTTTTGTAACCTTTGATGACAATGTTGAATGGCTATTGTGGGTAAAAGCAGGTAGTGGAATACAGTGAAAAGGATTTTTATTTACTTTAGCCATTCGAAACTTCCTGTGGAAACGGCTCGAGAGTTTCCTGATGGCAGATAGTGTTTATCTTTCCCGAACACCCCAAGGCCTCCCGAAATAAAGCGGACCTGCCAGTCCAAGGAAGTGCGCTGCATGGGGAAGTGGAACGATAAGAGCCCCAGTTTCCTGTTTCGCTATTGCTCACACACTAACAGCTCAGCACAGCCTTGTGCGCAGATACATACACACTCACGCACAACACAAACAACCTTAACCTGTAGGCTTAGTTACAAATCTAACCCCACATCAAAGGTACACACCTGCAAGATACAGTATGTACACAATGCATGTTCATAACTTTGTTCTGGCAAGTATTTAACCTACATTAAGATACAGGTTGAAATACTTGAATCAAGAGACTTTCACTGTTTTTGTCCTTCTGATGTGCCATATAACAGATTTCCAGATGTTCAGATATTTCCATAATACTGGATTTAAAACATCCAGTTTAGTTCTTACACCTGAACTCTGAACTCTATTTCACATCTTTCCTCAAAAAATGATCAAATTTGTGATCAAAAACCACTTAAGGCAGTAAAAAGTTTTAGTATTTCTTCAATATATAACTAACAATGCAATGTAAGGATGCAGTATATTGCAATACACTGATGGAACCAGCTGCTGTACCGTCACTACAGGTCCAGTCTAGACTCAAGTTTGAGCTCTGAGGTCTGTTAGTCTGGAGCTTAACACACACTGCACTGACCTTGCTGCAGTGTCTCTTTATTCTCTGACACAGCGCCTCCTGTCATACTAAGAGTGAAATAATCTCAGCACAGTAGTAAGACTTCATTCAAGGCCGGCCCAAGGAATAAGTGAACTAAGCGGCTGCTTTGGGCCCCCCGTGGCCACCAGGGTGCCAAGATTGCTTGAAAAGGCCCACTAAATATATATATATATTATATATATTATATATGTAGGAGGTAGAATGGTGGCCCTAGTATATACTAGGGCCACCATTCTACCACCTACAGGCTCCACGAACATCATATATAATTACATTGTTTGGGCTCTCAAGTATTGGAAAAAATAGGTAAGTGCTACTGAACTTGGCTTGGAAACTGTATGGTAGTTTTAATCTTAATTTATTTATCTATTTATTTGAAGGCTAAAACTATCAGATAAATGTAGGCGTAGTGAAGTAAAAAAGACATTATAGAGTATAGAGAAGCATTGGTAACTATCCAATTGCCAATTAATGTTTTTTCATGTCGTTATATTATGCATTGATTTATTTAGTGCTGCTGCACGTCTCCTATCCAAATTGAAAGTTTTCTCTGGGATATAGTGGTGAAATACAACAATATAGATATCTATTTTAACACATTTCTAAATTTGACAAAATCAACGTGGCACCGCCTGAAGCACCTGGCACACACCCCCATACCAATGGCAATCAGCTGCATCTGGAGACGGTGTGCACTCTACTGCCAAGAGCGGTTGTTGCTGTTTGCTCTGAGATTTATTGGATTGATTTTTTTTATACCGTATGTTGGTGTTTGCATTTTCCAATTGTTCTACCTGGAGATGACGAACAAGTTCTTTGGGACCATTGTGCCTGGACTGCACAGAAGGTGGCAGCCCTGTTGAGATTTATTAAATTCCTTATTCTTTATCAACAATGAGTGTGACTGTTGCTTACTGCTTATTACTATTAGCCTGTAGGCCTACTATTTACAAAATCAAGACCTAGTTTATATTCACTAAATAAAGTTTGTGAAGTGGCTGCATCTGTCGGTATAGGCTATCAGTAAGGTTGCTAGCAGGAAAAAAAAAAAATCCCATGACAGAGGTCACCACGAATACTATGACATTTTTTGTCTTATCGTACTTTGAAGTCTTCACGGTTTATTGTATGATGATAAATATGGGGAGACAAAATAGTACACTGGTTAGAACTGGTGCTTCGTGGAGTGTGCATGTTCTCCCTGAACCCATGTTGGTTCTCATGTTTGAAGACATGCAAAATAGGTTAATTGACAACCCTGACTGACGTTTTCATGCTTTACTTTAATATGGCGTTTTTTGACAATTTTATGCCATGCTATACTATGACATTATTATGCCTTACTATATGACAATTTTTATTTTTATATGATGACATATATGTGGAGAAACAATAGTACACTGGTTAGAACTGTTGCTTCGCAATGACGAACGTTGTGAGTTCAATCCCAAGCTGAGAAATTTCTTCTTGGAGTTCATATGTTCTCCCAGTGCCCACGTTGGTTCTCGTCACCAAAGACATACACAATAGGTTAACTGGCAACCCTAACTGACGTTTTCATGCTTTACTATACAATAACGTTTTTTGGCATTTTCATGCCATACTATACTATGACATTATTATGCCTTACTAAATGGCGTTTTTTTGACATTATTATGCCTTACTATACGGTGAAATTTTATGCCATACTATATTATGATGATTTCTGAAATTTTATGCCATACTATACTATGACGTTTTATACCATTTTGTGCCTTACTATACTAAGATTACTATACTAAACTTGTACAAAGACATGCATAAGAAGCTAATTGGCAACCCTAACTGATATTCTCATTCTACGATGTTTTTTGCCTTTTTTTTGCCATACTATACTATGACGTTTTTTGGCATTTTCATGCCATACTATACTATGACGTTTTTAAACATTATTATGCCATACTAAACTATGCTGTTTTCGAAATTTATGCCATACTATACTATGATGTTTTTTGACATTTTATTGCCATGCTATACTATGACGTTTTATGACATTTTGTGCCTTACTATACTATGATTACATCATGGTTTAATAATCGATGCTATATATAGGGAGACACAATAGTACAGTGGTTAGCACTGTTGCTTTGCAATAGGAAGATCATGAATTCAATCCCAAACTTACAAATTTCTATGTGCAGTTTGTGTGTTCTCCCAGTGCCCATGTCGTTTCTCATCTCCAAAGGCATGCACAATAGGTCAATTGGTAACCCTAATTGATGTTTTTTGAAAATTCATGCCATACTATACTATGATGTTTTGTGAAAATTTATGCCGTACTATACTATGACGTTTTCTGAAATTTTGTGCCATACTATACTATGACGTTTTTTGAAATTTTATGCCATACTATACTATGACATTTTTAGGCATTTTCATGCCATGCTATATTATGATGTTTTGAAACCTTTTCATGCCATATTATACTATGACGTTTTTTGAAAATTTATGCCATGCTATACTATGACGTTTTTTGACATTTTTATGGCATACTATACTATGATGTTTTTTGACAATTTATGCCATGCTATACTATGACGTTTTTTGAAACTTTATGCCATACTATACTATGACATTTGTTGGCATTTTCATGCCATACTATACTATGATGTTTTGAAACCTTTTCATGCCATGCTATACTATGACGTTTTTTGAAAATTTATGCCATACTATACTATGATGTTTTTTTTAAGTTTATGCCATACTATACTAGGACATTTTTTGGCAATTTAATGCCATACTTTACTATGACGTTTTTTGAAAATTTATGCCATACTATACTATGATGTTTTTTTTAAGTTTATGCCATACTATACTAGGACATTTTTTGGCAATTTAATGCCATACTTTACTATGACGTTTTTTGAAAATTTATGCCATACTATACTATGATGTTTTTTTTAAGTTTATGCCATACTATACTAGGACATTTTTTGGCAATTTAATGCCATACTTTACTATGACGTTTTTTGAAAATTTATGCCATACTATACTATGATGTTTTTTTTAAGTTTATGCCATACTATACTAGGACATTTTTTGGCAATTTAATGCCATACTTTACTATGACGTTTTTTGAAAATTTATGCCATACTATACTATGATGTTTTTTTTAAGTTTATGCCATACTATACTAGGACATTTTTTGGCAATTTAATGCCATACTTTATTATGACGTTTTTAGAAAATTTATGCCATACTATACTATGACATTTTTTGGCATTTTCATGCCATGCTATACTATGATGTTTTGAAACCTTTTCATGCCATATTATACTATGACGTTTTTTGAAAATTTATGCCATACTATACTATGACGTTTTTTGACATTTTTATGCCATACTATAGTATGATGTTTTTTGACATTTTTATGCCTTACTATACTATGACGTTTTTTGAAAATTTATGCCATACTATACTATGATGTTTTTTTTAAGTTTATGCCATACTATACTAGGACATTTTTTGGCATTTTAATGCCATACTTTATTATGACGTTTTTAGAAAATTTATACCATACTATACTATGACATTTTTTGGCATTTTCATGCCATGCTATACTATGATGTTTTGAAACCTTTTCATGCCATATTATACTATGACGTTTTTTGAAAATTTATGCCATACTATACTATGACGTTTTTTGAAAATTTATGCCATGCTATACTATGACGTTTTTAAACATTATTATGCCATACTATACTTTGCATTTTTTGGCATTTTTGCCATGCCTACTACTATGACGTTTTTTTTTTGGACAATTTTATGCCATACTATACTATGACGTTTTTTGAAAATTTATGCCATGCTATACTATGACGTTTTTAAACATTATTATGCCATACTATACTATGACATTTTTTCGCAATTTATGCCATATTATACTATGACATTTTTTGGCATTTTCATGCCATACTA